GTTGCTTTGCCCGCAGCTGCACCAGACACAGTAAACGACTCCAGATGTTTCTTGCCGTGACAATGGGTTTTTTGGTCTCATGATCTGGCGTCTAATGGTTGCCTCCAGCCTGTGCGCTCCTCCGATTCCCAAGGGTGTGAGAAGGCGACTGACGGCTTCTGAGGCATTTTCCCGTACAGGAGAGCTCGCCAAAATTTGGGGCCGGCTGGATTTAGTTTCTTATCTCATTTGCGCAGGCACTGGTTAACGAAGTTGCGCTGGTAGCCATTGGCTTTTAATACCCGTCGAAGGTATTGCAATTCAGCAACCCTGTCTTCCGGTTCACTGCAATGTGTCTCCGCACGCCGGTATAGTGTCCTTACGCAACTGCTTTTCTGAGTGATTGGGTGGTTGCTGTTGTAGCTCAGTACCTGCTTCGTGTTTGTCGCCTTCCTGAATACTTTGGTTTTTAGCCACCACAATCTTTGCGGCAGACGAGGACATCAAGAAAGACCGGTTGGTTGTTTTCCTCTTCCTCCATCGTAAGTTGGATGTCCGGGAAGATGACGTTGAGATGTTCTTTGAATTCCAGCATCCGATCCCGTTCGAACACGACGAAGGTATCATCCACATACCGAGCCCAGAATTTTGGTCTGTGGTGCCGGAAAACGAGCGACACCAACCGTTATAGGACCGCCACGGCTATGAGTCCCGAAATCGGCCAACCCATTGGCGTTCCCTTCGCCTGCTCGTAGATTGTTCCGTCGAACGTAAAGTGCGTCTTGGGACAGAACCGCAGAACTTTGAGGATTTCAGCGTGTCCAAGGCGATTCTCCGTTTCATCGTATCTGTCTCGTAGGCGTAGTTCGATGATATCTACTGTCAGGTCCTGCGGAATAGAAGTAAAAAGGGACATGACATCAAAGGATACCATACGTCGCTTGGCAGGAGGCTTAGCCCCTTTAAGTTTCTCCCAGAATTGTCTTGCATTTGAGGTCAGAAATTTGAGACGCCGAAACAGCCATTTTGTCAGCCCGTAAGTTGGAGTACCATTGAGTGAGACGATGGGCCGCAGGGAGACACCCCCTTTATGCACTTTGGGAAGGCCGTGGAAGAGGGCCAAGGCCCTATCCTGGCGCTCGGGAGCTGCCAACTGCGATAGGCATGTAGGGGCCTAGAAACTACATCCTATAAATACTGCAGCACCTGGGCAATTTACCCACCCTTATCTGACTCTGTCTCTGGTGACGGATTCGAGTGAGAATCCGAAACGTCAGGCTAATAAAGCTCTTGTTCCAGCGATCGTGTCTCCTTCTTTGAGACTACTTCCCGGAACTCGCCTCTTCGCCTCTATTAAGTGCTTGTTCACTTTCTCGCTACAAACCTATCCAAAAGGCGAAAAAATCAAGAAGTGAGCGTAAAAACCGTCACCCAAGCTTCTGTCAGTGAAAGTTTTCTGACCGTCTAACTCTTGCAACTCTCCTTTCTACCTGGGGATGCGGAAACATTTCAAGTTTTTTCTAACTATGCTCTCGTTCTTAAGACTTTCTTAGGGGTTCTTTTGTTTTAAGTTCTGCAGGAGCGTTCGAATTCGATTTTCAAAGAACAAATTTCTGAAATTTAGCCCCACCTTTTCATTTTTATTTAACACTGGATCATTTTCTGTCTTAACTCGAAAAATTGTTATATGATCCTCCGATACTGAATTTCTCGCTCCCCTCTTCTTATTGTTTAATGTCACCGTCTACTGTGGATGTGACTTGACGCCCAGACGGAAGTGCATCTCTCGAGATAACTGCTTACTTCGATGGCATTGAAGTCTGATGTTTTCGCATGTGCTAGAAGCTTTCGCTAGAAGTTTTGCTTGTTTTACAATAAATGCATTCTTACTATCACATAGAAACGCAAATTTCCCATCATTAATCGTGAGTCCACTATCAATTAAACGGTTTCATTGGCTATATGTGGTTAATTCCCGACCTACGGACCAAGTTTGATCGCTGTAATAGAAGAACGTAGGTTGGAACGGAGAGCGAAAGGGCAGATTACTCTTTCTGGATAAGTATTCATGAGGTCAGGATCTTGTTTCTCAGCTCAAGCAGCAAGTCACCGTTATCAGTCATGGACATGGCAGATGTTGCATATGGACAAGGCCTTCTTGAGTGAAAATGGGCTTATCTGCTGCCAAGCATACCGCACGAGTCGTTACGATCATATGTTTACGTCAGTCATTTAACCGACCCTTCGGTATTTCCTTAGCACTTATCAGGATCCCCTTGGCCTCAACCAGATTAACCGGGAAAGGTCTCTATTTGTACTAGGTCGTGCTTAGTCCAACCGAAGTCGGTTATGTTCATGGGGTCTTGGCAACGACGCAATATGCGACCCCATCCAGAATGTAGAGGATAGGTCATCATGTCTTACGGGACCGGCGGAAACAGGGATTATATGGGTGGGGTCAACTGATGCGAAAGAGAGCGGTGAAAACGGATGAAGTTTTGGAAACATGTTCTACTGCTGCGAATACGTTCAGCTAGATCCGTGCACGAGCTTAAAAGCAACCCGGAAAATTAAATACTAACGAAATTTAGTACCAAAAAAACAAAATGGCAGTTAAGTATAGCGCCTGCACAATAAGACGCCAAGTCCAGAAATCAAGGCAGTGAAATGGCCAATAGAAGTCCAAGGACGAATGACAATGGCGAACCTCATAAGAGTAAAGTGGGAACGTTGACCCAACGGCACGACATGATGATGCAGAACAGCGGAACACAGGGAAGCGGCCGAGGTGGCCAGCAAAGGTAAAGTATACCAAATTAGCCTGTGTACCAACTAACACATGAGTTGAATGTGATATTTAAGAGAAAATTTATGTTATCTTGGAAAAAGGCAACCAGTGTACCATAAGTAAACAGCACTGCTTTCGTAATAATCGGTAGGCAGTAATCAGTAATATACAGAGCTGGGTCGCCTACTGCGTCCTTTCCGCGTTCTTCGTTGGAGGCCTTCGGTTGTTCAGCCTATTCTACAGAATCATGCTAAGAAGTTGAAGCACACTGAGAACGCCCAAAACACGATTTGACTTTAACCTCTTGATGAAAGTTGTAATAGTAGAGAAAGATACCCGACAGTTAACAGGGGGCACACGCAAGTAACCTTCCAATCCAAACTCCGGTCAGTTCACAAGCGAAGGACAGAGAATGCACCCTCTCTTTTGGATGTTGTGGACGCCTATTTAATGAAAAACCAATCAGTTAGCTGGGGGCAAACTGTCCGGGATTTCTGAGTGAGTGGAAAATCCCTCATAGGCACCATATGAAGACCCTATGCTTCTGGATTTACTTATCGAGGAGTCAAAAGACCCTCGTTCTTAGTTCTAGAGGACCTTACATATTGTCCACAAGATTTTTATGACTTCGGTATTTTTAGAACTCGAGTTTAGATGTGGAAATGCATTCCTAGGTTCCAACTGCAGCGTAAACTGAGTATCTTTCTTTTAGCTCGCTGACGAAAGTTGTTTAAAGTTTGTTTTATTTTCAAAGATTTTTAATTCGCCATTGACCTATTCATCTTAAAGGTAGGTTGGTTAGTCGTTGGCTTAAGTTATGGTTTTAAGGCCTAGCCAGTAGTCACTATCAAGCAAGAATGCCAGATATGCCCTTATGGTTGTCCATACTTTTATCAAAAAATCGGTTATTAATTTTGAAATGCACAGCGAACTAGGGGCAGAGTAGTGGTTTTACATCACGCTTGACGGCTGAGTCTTTCGAACTTCGTTTGATACTTCTCTCAGTCACCATAGCGGTAAAGCGAATGATACGCCTAATAGCAACTGTTTTGTCCATTAACACTGTGAATGCTCACTTCAGTACTTCAAAAGCACTTTAAAAGCATCACAGGACGTGCCAGCGACTGTAAAGATGCCGTTCATTGCCCCTGACACACTGCAGTTAAAACGTCAGTTAATCTCCGAAGGACAGCTGCGGTGCGCACTGTGTCCAGCTAAAATGTCTTTAAAAACTTGTATTGCCCCAATGTTCCACTTGTTATCAAGGAAGATCCACGAGGTAGAGTCAGTGAGCTCCCACGTTCATTGTTGAGCTTATTTACAAAAGAAATTATATGCCTACAGCCAGTCGACTGCGCAGAATCCTCTTGCCCCTGCGAGTTGCAATGTTTGGGGGCCATAGCAACACGGTTTTCAGCTGCGCTTTCATGCATTTGCTTCCAGATGCGTTTTGCTGCTGTCCACAAATGGGGATTAGTTCTTTACCCCATTCGAGCATGTATTCGAGATTTTAGTTTTCCATATAGATGCACTGCCCGCAAACTCCTGTACCAACAACCCACTACTGAAGGCAACTTTGAGCGAAAAATGGATCTCTACAAAAATTATCGGAGAAGGAAAATTGTCGCACTAGCCAAAAATTGTCTGTTTTACTCAACAAAGATCGTTGTCGGTGTGAAAAGATTGCAGGCCTGTTCCCCGACTATTTGGTCTTCCTCAAGCGAACACTAAATCTCACGCGCTCTTCAGCTACCCATACTCACACAATGCGTTTCTTGTCATACAACCAGCGTGGCCGAGTATCGGTACCGGAAAGGGTACACGCACTTTTGGGTACATTTGTTCAATACTTTGTGGCAATACTGGGCCGAACGTGTTAGTTTTTTTTCTTTTTATGGACTAATTTCTCAACTGTTTCATTAAAACAGGTTCTCCGCACCCAATACCGATGCGGATATCAGCAAAAATACATATACTTTAAGTTGATTTTCGAAGGGGAAAATGTGACAATTGACATGCGTGGATGTTGGCGCCACAGCGATAGTTTTCTAGCCCACACTGACGACGTCAGTTGGCATTCACGCCTCCAGGATGCGCACCGCAGCCGCACGCACATGCAGTTGCGGTCACTAGAGTTCTACCTTATTGGGGAAAATCAATAATTGTTGTTTTAAACAAGGTCTGGGGACAGAGTCACTATTTCGTTTTGATTGTCACAGTTTTAAGCAAATTGATGAATGTACGGATTCAGGCGAGCTGTCTGTCATGTTGGCTTCTGGCGAACGTCTTCCTGCGTTCATATGTGTCCTGTGGGAAAGTCGAGTCCAAATTCAGCGTCTGGATACCAAATGGTCAGTTTGTTCAAATTCCCTGCAATCTTGACGAGGATAAATATGCCAGGCTGATTGGGAAACAGGTTCGCCTCACGCCCTTCCAATTTCTGGATGCCAATCTACTACGCCCCTTGGGTTCGGAGGTGACTACAGTATGGTATAACTCTCTGGGTCGTCTGATACATGTTGGTAGCGCCTTGCCCCTGCGCCTTCCTCCGGTAATGCCAGGCGAAGTTGACGCGGAGGCGTTGAAGGACAATTCTGAGTCTAAAGCCGGCACCAAGAACACACTCTATCTACCCCCCAATCAGTACAGTGACACTGGAAGCAGCTTGGACCTCCTTAGACGCTACAGCATGACTACTGTCACATGCCAGACCTTCCGCTCGAGCACGTCTGGTGTCATCTGGGATTCGGATGAGGAGGATGAAAAGGATGCCGATTTCAGTGAGAAACACGTTATTTATCGCAATCAGTTTATTCTAACGGAGTATGCGCAACCGACCATTCAGTGGCGCTACGCCCTACCCAGACAGTACCTAAACGAAACTGACAAGAAAAGATACTTGCCACCCAGTTGGTGGGAGGATGTCGCCAGAAACTTTTGTCGTAGTCTGCAGAATGTACACGAGTTCCGATTCACACCATGCATTCATGTCGAAGTGATCAAACTGCCCTTCCATTTGAAGTATTCTGACTCCTACTACGAACTCCTCGTGACCATCCGCCTAGGCACTAGTCCGCTGCACGTCGTCCTGCCGCCATCTGCAACCTCCTTTGACAGTCTGGCTACAGTTCACGCTGCTTCCAAACACCTTCTGGATGAGCTCCTACGTCATGAGCTAGACAACAAGCTGCGGACGCAGGGAATGCAGGTGGAAGACAAAACAAAAATCACTTTCCTAACTGCGGTGCGTTTCCTCTGTCCTCCGGGTAGTTATGTGCGCAATTCCGAGCCGCCTCTCAAACCAATCTTTCACCTTTTCCAAATGAAAAAGGATTTTGAAGACATTTTCGACAACACGTCCGAATTAATTGGCATGCCGCCTACGGCCAGCGCCAGCCTGCTCCACCGAATGCCCCCAGTCTGCGTTCCCTGCCCGCCGGGCCAGGCGCCCCTGACAGCCTACTCTTTCGACCGGTGTCGCCCCTGTGCGCGGGCTTTCTATCGCGGAAGCACGGGATGGCCGGCTTCGGGGGGCTGCTTGCCTTGTCCAGAGGGCTTTACTACAGGCAAGGAGGGATCCCTCTCACCAGAAGACTGCAAACTCAATGGCGGTACCTATACGCAGGCTCTTGCGGGTTTCGCCACCTGGGCCTACGATAATTTCGCCGCTCTGGTGGTCGCTTATCACGAAGCTTCCAGCTCATATCGCAGCCACGTGGCTTACTACCTTGGCGAGTCGGAGACGCAGGAGTCGGCAGCGGCAAATTTGGGATCCTGGATAAACCGCATCAGCCCGAAAGCACTTGCTGCTGGCATCGCTTCCTCCGTATTCGTTCTTTTTCTCTTCTCACTCTTTGTCTACAGACTTGGCCTACTAGTACGTTTTTTGAGAGCCCACCACAAATACGTACGGTTACTGCGACGAGTTATCTACTTTGGACATCTCAACCTGCAAGACGATGTTAGAAACATCCTGCGGATGGAGTACGTGGAGGGAGTGGATCCGCAGGGCAGGCCTTCGGCAAACTTTCGAGGTAGCGATATGCTTGGTCCAGATTTGGACTTCCTTGCGGGTATGGACGATCCGAAGTAGTCACAGACCAGAGAGGCTACTGGACAGATGCTATGTCCTGCAAACTTTATTATCATTTCGAGTAAGGTCGTCCGTATTTGGGATATCTAACGCTTAGGATTTCATCTGGATATTAACATGCCTGAAAAACAAACAGTAAAGGATTATCACGCAAAATGCATCTTTGGTGTTCACTATTGCTTCCTTTTCTGTCCACTAGTCTAGGGATGGAACAGTAGTGGGAGTGCTTGAGTTTCGAACGAAGCAGAGTTTGGAGCAAACCAGCCATTCTGAGATAAACACTCCAATTAGAGATCGCAGCTTTGAAGCGTCTGGGAAAATCAATAAGTCTGACTTTGGCCTGCATCGTTCGACCGTCTTTTGACGATTACACGAGATCAGAAGTCTGTGCCCTTAAAGTATCGGCAAAATAAGCGTTTAAGTGATTTTTGCGGGAGATAACACCTCAGTAGAGTTCGATGAATGAATCGTTGAAGCAAATAATTACAGGCATTTGCAAACTTACCTGTGGTGACGCCTCTGGCCCTCCAGGTATAGCACAGAATCTTACGAAAACAGGCTACTCATCCGTAATGCTGTGCCTTCGAACTAATTCGTCCGTCTACCGGTTTTCGAACCTTTGGTCCATGTAACAATCAGGCCTAATTTTAGAATCATGTGGCCCAAAAGGCGGTTTCGACATTTTATCGAGCTGGCCTCTTCCGTGTTTCTCTAAAAACCTGGCCCACTGCGAGAGGACCAGGCGTGTTTGGCACGCGGAGGTAAACTGTTTAGTTTTGTCAGCCACTGCACACGATCCCATCTTCATGCTTCCCGACTGTCTTGATACCGTGCTCGGGAAGGTGAGGGATGGGGGTGTGCGGTGGAGGCTGAGAAAATCTACTCTTACAATAAACTAATTCACCCCAAACTCACCGTTTCTGTTTCCACCGTGCTGTGAGGCACACAGTCGACATCATCATTCGCGGCGTTCGAACTGCCGTCATTGTCAGATGATTTCAAAAGAAGGCCACATAACTGATTAAGAAAAACAATAATTATTGCCCTGGTGTACAGAAATGTATTTGAGTCCACGGCAATGCACCTTCTACAAAAAAGAGGTTCTTTTTTAAACCATGTTGGCGAACGTGGCTGACAGATTATAAACAGAGCTCAACTCTTATTGGATCCGGGATGCTCTTGAAATACGGCTCATGCACATTTGCGCAACTAACATACATACACGCATTTCCATGCTTCCCGCAGAATCATAGCATTTTTCGTTGCAAAAGAATGTCCCGTTTCTCCACATAGCTTCACACACAGGGAATGGCTGCAAGACAATCACTTATCAAACACAACTCCTAACTGCAAGTAATGAGCGTTGTTTAACTGGTTGTTGTTTTATTAAGGAAGTGTTAACATGCTTCTTTGTAGAGGCTGTGGCGGTATGCGCTCTCGGCGCTATGCGCGTCCGGGTACCCCCGCCGCCTTCCGTCCGCCTAACACACCTCAGCGTATGACTCTTCCTTCGCCTCGCCGACACTGTGACGCCGATCGGTATTTCCGTCTTTATCGATTGGCTGCAGCCAGACGAAGCTCAGGCGCACTCACTTCGCGCCGAGGCTGACAGTCCAAAACGGCTGGCACTCCGTTTGCCAGATCCGTTTTTGCCTCTGCCTGCTGAGCCGCACGTACGCGCTCTAGCCTGAGTAAAGATCTCCAATAATTCTGTTTTCCTTGACTCTGGATTTTAGAAAACTCAAATTTTCGACCCATCACTCCCAACAAGTCCTCTTGCAACGAAAATTAGGATGTCGTCCATCCCGAGAAACAGGCTGCTGTCATGTACTCCCCTCGGTTCTCCCAAAACGCTTCGCCGCGCAGACACAGACGTCCTTCGTCTCTGATGCGTCTTCAGTCCTAAAAATGCTCCAAAACTAGATAGACTCTCCACAAAACCTTCCTTGAGATGATTAAACACAAAGCAGGTGGCCGCGAGAGTTGGATTTTTAGAGAAAATATTTGACTGGCTGATTGTACTTGAGCTTTTTGCCCTTGTGGTGATCCGAACTTCAGGGCTTTTGTTTTGTGAGTCAGTTCTCTGCACACTATGCCCACAACGAATTGCAGAGCAAAACTCTCCACGGTGTGTTTGACCGGATCCCGGCACCCAAGTATAACCGTGTTTGTAACCCATCATTTGCTGCGGAGGATCTCTGATTAGATAGAAAAACCGAAAAAAGGATAGAACATTTTGAGAGGGCTGCCTGCCAGAGGAACTTTACGTACGCTGTTTGACAGTCGTAGCCGATCGGTTATGCGGCCTTCTGGACCAAAGCCGTACCCGCTGTCTTCTCGCCAGCGTTCGATAAAGTTGCCAGATTACGATGCGTAAACGATCAGATGTGGCTATCTAGCCCCACGTGAAGTAAACAAACCCCAGACACCTGTGAAACGGGACCAGTGATAATAGGAGTTTTTACAGATGGGGCCGGGAAACGTACAGGTGACGAGGTCAAGTAGTTGTATGTAAAAGAAAACCTATTGCGAATGCGCGGTTGCACTTCGAGTGATTGAGAAATAGTTGCCCTAACCCCTAACCCTAGCCCCTAACTCTAACCCCTAACCCTTAACCCCCAGCCCTAACCCGTAACGCTAACCCCTAACCATAACCCTTGTCCCTAACCCCTAACCTCAACCCAAACAGTATTGTGTCCATCAGGTGGGGCAGTATAACCACATCTTACTGCGACAACTAGCAGGAAATAAGCTTCCCTAGCATTACTCCAAAAAGGGCTTGCCATCTTCCTCCGCAATCTTGTATGTCTATATCAAGATACGTACAGAACAAAGGGTCAGAAATTGTATACGTTTTGCCAACTACCTCGTTCCAACCCAGTTCTTGGTTTCATTGGGTAAAAAATGCCCTTCAAACAATTGCTAGGTCTAGCCCTGGTCAAAATTTTGGCCGAAATTCACCTATTTCAATAATTCCATCGTAGAACAAGTGACGCCCTGTTATAATCGATAACTCTTTCAACTAACTGTCTCCTTTTTCTGTTCAGCGCTGAAGAAACAATTTAGTCCCTATAGCAAAAACCCATTTGGCGTATGATAAATCGCCTGACTCACAAACGAACCGAACAGTCCACTTAGACTTCAAATATAGTACCCAACTTTCGGCGAATCACGAGACGCTGTACGCACGTGCTGAAAAAAAGCACTGGCTGTCATGTTAATCTGCCGGACAATGAATGAGGGTCACAGTTAGGCGGCAGAAGGAAGAATGTGACGCAACCTTCTGGCTTCTTAAAATACACAGGTAGGGTGCGAGGAATTTGAAATACCAGTTTCTTGTGTTGACTCGTGCGTGCGTGTCAACTGTGGGAGTCCCGAAATGCACCACATGCTCCCAACAGCACAAACAAACCATTTTGACTTGTGCTGTAAACCGGGCAGTGTTAGTGAAGGACAAGATACAGACAATAAAGTGGCCTTTGTAGGAAGTGAATTAATTTAATTTAATAGACTAGAACACAAGTTGTAGTAGGTTAGGGAAAAGTGAAATGCGCATCTTGGTAATTTTCTTCATAAGACAGACCCTACTTGTCGACTGCCCGGAAACAGATGTTAAAAAACGTAATCAGTAGCACTAGGAGGCTGACACGACAATGGTAAAGAATTGGGAAAGTTTATGTGCGGTCACGTTAATCGTTATGAAACTAAAATGAAGAATGCGATAAGGGATAAAACCGAAGAAGAGAACGTCTTTGACGCTCAAAGTCTCCAATATAATCAGACCAAGGATTTCCTAGGTCACAGACTATGGTGCCTGTAGTATTTAAATCTCAGGTGTGTTGGATAATTGGCCTGGTAAGACTTTGAGATTCGCTCTTTGTGACATTAATTCTTTGAATAAAGAAATTGGCAAAAACTCCTCCCTGGTTGGTAAATGTCATGACTAAGTGAAGTTCGAGCTTCGGCGCACATCTTCTGTGTAGTGTCATGCAATGTGTTCATACGTCGTGAATTTCGCCTTTGGTCAGTTAGGTCGTCTGCAGATGATTACTCAGTCAAGACGTCTGCGTTTTCCCACGATGCGAAAATACGAAAAGGACAAGGTTTCATTTTTTTTACTGAAACTCACAAACAAGCGCATCAAATTCTTCTATTAACCCAGTCGTACTAGACGCCAACTTGTTACCTAATCACCGACACCCGATACCCCGGAAGTACTGCGATGAAATCAAAATTTGGTGCATAAAGGCCTGGAAGATCTGAACCAGAAAGTTGCTTCTGAGTAAGTATGCAGAATTGAGGGAGAGCCGGATCGACAAAAAGTACTATCTTTCTCACGGGTCACTGGCTCGCTCAAAACAAATCGACCGGTCGGACAAGGGTATATGAATCCTCCCCGTATTACAGGTGACCTTGATCTAAGTTCCAGACGATAACTATTCCCGTGTTTTAACTTTAAACCTAACTCTAACATTAAACCCAGCCCTAGCGCTAGCCTTAACCCTAACGGCCCTGGAATTTAGAGCAAGATGACCGGTAATGCAGGTTTCCAATATTCCCATGATGAACCAATCAATCATTAGATGGGCTCGTGCAAAACTACTGACGTGACGCCGAGTTACATGCAGCCGGACCGTCGCAGGCAACGACATCAGTTGCCGTCCCATGAGGTGGGTCCGACAGCAATGACTTGTGTGTGAACTAGTTTATAACAGTGCATACATGCGTTGCAAATAGCCCTCCTTCCTTCTCTTCCCATGTCCACTGTGCTCCAGTAATGAGACATATTTATGACGATCGGAGGTGGCGTTGGTGCATGGACTGACAAAACTAAACAGACCGTCTATGCGTGTCCTACATAGCTTGGTTCCCACTTCATGTATCCAGATATACCGGATGACATTTTCACCAATTAGACGCGATACGCATGTCCCTATATGCGACGTTCCACCCCATACCAACGTAGCAAACTGGACCACCTTAATTCTGCAACAGCTAGT